ATCTACTCATTTTACATGTGCCTAAGAAACTACAACTGTATTTCTAGTGTAACTGAAGTCTATCCTTTGAAAAATTTGTTGTTCCTTTCCATTCCTGATGGCACCACCAAAAATTGTGAGGGGTCTGCCAATCTTAGCAAATTGCGTATCTAAATCCCGGTAATGGATGTGTGAATTTGAAACTTGTTTTCAGGTTTCTTCTTGCTGCATGCCAGGCTCTTTTAATATTAAAAAAAAACAAAAAAAAACAACAAATGTCATGAACAAGAGATAGGCAGTATCTCTCTTCAGGCTGTGTATCTAAAGTTAGGGGTGATAATAAAATCAGAGTTATCCCTCTTATCATCTCTGTATTTCCTCCATGGAACTCAAATTCTGAGCCATGAAATGTGCTAAATTTCCCATGTCTTTCCCCCGGCCACACACTATCTCATCCTGGAGAGCAGAAGAGGGGAAAAAACTGTGGGCACTATCATCAACAATCCATTATCGCTTCACATGTTAACCACATTTGGTTCCATTTTTATGGAAACGTGATTAAAGTTTTAAAACTTGTTTTCATAATAAATATGGTTAAAGTTTTAAAACTTGTTTTCATAATAAATATGGTTAAAGTTTTAAAACTTGTTTTCATAATAAATATGGTTAAAGTTTTAAAACTTGTTTTCACAGAAAATATATCTATAAAAATGATTTTATTTTTATTTTTTTTTTAAAATCATTGCAGCCGGGACAGATTTGGGTTAATGAAATAAACTTCCATTTCCCTCATAATTTTAAGACATATATTTATAGAGTAGAGTAAGATGATAAATATGAATATAAAATGATTTTTTAGATAATCTTTAAAAATCCCGGTAACATGTTATTAAATGCATATATTAAATAAATATAATATATTAATAGTATAATTATGAGTTTCAAATTATTAAGTCAGTAAATCCTTAATTTTATTGGATATTATGTTACATTTGTAACAAAGCTAAAATTTAAAAAAAAAAAGAATTTCACTGTCTGCACTAAATCAAACATTTCATGTTCATGTGTTTTTTAAAATATTTTGAGGTAATTTAGGGGTAAAGCGGTTATTTCAAGAAATAAAATCTTTAAATACAAATCATTTTAAAATGTTTTTTTAACAAAAAAAAAAAATAATAAAAAAATTAAATGATTAATTTCATGATGACTTACAAGTTGCTGAACAAACGTTTTTTCTATATATACATTTAATGTGTAATTTAATTCAAATGCAGAAAAAAAACTAGATACTAGACGTTTTTAAGAAAAATCAGTGATCATGTACTTCCTACAATGATGGTTAAAAGTACAGAGGACTGTGCATCCCTGTTATAATCTTTTAACAACTTAGCTCATAAACCTACATGTACAGAATTTTTCTTAAAGAATAAACCACTACACTCCTAGATGAGTCTAATGGTGGGGGGGGGGGGGGGGGGATGGGGGTTGAACGTTTTAAAAAAAAAGATGTAAATTCTTCTCACAGACCTGTGTGAATCTGTTTAGCAGAAGATAAGCAAGCAGATAATGCTGGGGAGATAACACACTCACTGAATTACTCCCCCTGTGAGCTGGAATACACCATTTTTAGGGTTAGGGTTAGGTTGCCTTAGTTACTGTGATAACAAAACGAATTTTTGAATGTTGTATAAAATGTAGTCACCATGGGTTTATTATGTTATAATAGGTCACGAACATCTGCAGATCAGCATACAACGAAATTAGACAAATCAGCACCATTAGACACCTCCTCTCCTTTGATGCCACAAAAACTCTCGTCTCTTCACTCATTCTTTCAAAATTTGACACTCTTCTCGAAGGCATTCCTCAACACCACATAGACAAACTTCAGAAGGTACTGAACTCAGCATGCAGACTCATTTTTAAATCAAAGAAACACGACCACATTCAACCACACATGCGGCAACTCCATTGGCTTCCAATATCCTCGCGTATCAAGTATAAGTCTGCCAATCTATGCTTCAACTCTTTCACTGACCCTCACTTTCCTGTCTATCTCTCTGAACTGTTGCTTCCTTACATCCCCACAAGACAACTACGCTCTTCAACTGACAATAGACCCTCTCAATCCCAAAAACCAAAACTAAGACCATCGATGAACGCTCCTTCTACTTCCATGCGCCCACGTTCTGGAACCAGCTCCCCTTCCACATCCGTCATTGTGAAACCTCGTCCACTTTCAAAAAGTCCCTTAAAACCCATCTGTTTTGGTGCGCCTATGACCTGTGATGCACCCTCCTTGCCCTGCCTCATTTTCTGTCTCGGGTTGATCCTGTATTTAAGTATATGCCAAACGTGCCAAGTGTACATGTTTTTATAGCCTTTTTAATGTTTTAGCTACTGTTTTTGTAGTCATTTTTCCCATTGTAGTTACTATTATAGTTCTAGTGTCTCTGGTTTTCATTTTTATTTTACTTTAGCAGTTTAAATAGTTTCCATATTTTTAATAATTGTAAAGCGCTTAGAGCTGTAAGGTAAGCGCTATACAAAAATGCCTAAATAATAATAATGATAATAAATTGAAATTTAATATATCAATGGAGCATTGTAATTAATTGCACAATTAAAACCAAATTGATTGCATAAATATTTTTTTCTCCTTTTCCTTATTGTATTTGTATCATTTAATTGAAAATAACTTTCCAAAGTCTAAACAATTATTTATGAAAATTATACAGTTGAACTCTTAATTGTTTTTGAGTTATCCCATACATAACCAAAATAAAAATTAAATCTCATTTCTGGTAATGATTTAGCAGCTCGTATTTTTCTTTTTGAATTTTTGAAGATTGTAAAAAAGAATTTTAATTAGTCACTATAAATTTACTAAAAATTTTGAAGAAAAATCTTAATTATCCAGATACATCTGATTTATTATACAATATTTATTGTATATTCCTTGTATAAGTTATCCAAACATATCATTTTTACTAATTCAATTAAACAAAACATTACCATCTACACCTCTTTAAGCATCATAACACAGGTGAGGTACCATAAAGTCTCCAAATTTATTGTATTTATAACTTTTTTGAGGAGAACTTGTTAAAATATTAAGTTTTGGTTAAATAATGTTTTACACCTGAAGGCCTAAAACAACATTTTATTAAAAAAGTATACATTTAATCACCCAGTATTAATTTTGAGTCTTTGAATCAAAACAGATCAACATATGTGAAATAAACCAGTGAATTTGATAATCAAAAATAATTTTTTCTTGGACTTATTTTAAGTAGTTAACTATGAATATAGTCCCTTTTTAGTGGGTAATAAAAAAATAAATATATCATAACATTTAAAAGGTAACAGACCTTTTGTGACAGATGTAAATGAAAAATGTCATATACCAAAATTCAGAGACATATAATTGGTATCAAAGTAGTTATTTCATTGAAAGGTTTAGGATTAAAATCATCAGTTTACAAAGGAAGAGTGGTACCGGTACTACCACAGCTTGCAGAAACTAATAGATTAAACAATTTTTTAAGCTGGAAGAACTTGCAAACTGAACAATGAATATTATATACGTATTAATTTAATATTCCATTATTACATGGTAACAAACAAATATTTTAAGTTGTATCTGCTAATAATATTTTGGTGACTAAAATTCAACTGAAATACCAAACCATTTGAAGTACTACATTTGCATAGGTCAACATACAGACATGATAATTATAGAAGAAATTGCACCAACTTTTAAATTAAATATGGGACATACAATTTACACCCTCTGCTAGGAATCTTGGTTATATTCTTTCTAACAACATGTCCTCAATAAAAAATATCTCTCACATTTCGGCATACACCGCTATCCGTCAGATCCGCTCCTTCCGCCACTACCTCACAGTTAACGCTACAAAACTCTAGTCTGTGCTCTTGTTCTCTCTTGTCTTGACTATTGCAACTCTCTTCTGTCAGGTTCACCAAAACACTGCATAGAAAAACTGCAGAAAGTTCAAAACTCAGCTGCTAGGCTAGATCTAAAGGCAAAAAACGTGATCACGTCACTCCACTACTCCTCTCCCTTCATTGGCTCCCTGTACAGACACGCATTGACAAGTTGTCTGTTCTCTGTCACAACTTTTTCTCGGATTCCTACTCTAACCGAACTTCTTTCTGTCTATTTACCCCTTCGCTCCTCCGCAGACACGCATATTGTCAGTTCCCAAGACACACACTAAAACATATGGTGAACGATCTTTCTCTTTCTGCCCCCACAAACAATGCAATTCTTTACCACTACACATCCGCAATATACCAACCACCCAGGCTTTCAAAACTGCACTCAAAACACATCTCTTTAAACTATACAACCCTGACTGATTCAGAGGAACTGACCGATAAACGATCCTGTTGGCTGCCGTCCATGGTTTGCCATGTAAAGTTCTGGGGTGGGTGAATCTGACTGAAAAACGATGGTACTGAGTGTGGTCCATGGCTTGAGATGGAAATAGTTTTAAATATACATTTGTTTTGTTTTCTTTAATTAATGTATGTTAATAATTATTTTATTTTTTACTATGTTTGTTAAATTGTATGTACAGCACTGTGAACCCAGTCCTAGGCTGGAGTACCGCACATATAAGACCACTAATTTTATTTTTATTTTCACACTGTGGTACACATATGAAACAAAAAGATAAACAGATATTCAGTCTGAATTATGAAATATCTGCATGGTGGACTTGAAGGTTTCTAAAGATTATTTAGTGTACATTATTCCAAAAGTTTAAGAGCCCCTGACTTCAATGCATTGAATGTAGTTTCAAAACAGGCTGTTAAAAACCAAACCATGGTCAATATAATATCAACTTTCCAAAACACAAGGGTAGTTTAGATACTTAAAAATTTTCACAATCATTATTTAAAGCCATTCATGGGAGTATATCTACATAGAAATGAAAGGACAAGCTTCAATTTATGAGTTTGCTACTATTCTGGCTCAATATTCTGTTATATAATATTTATCAATTTGCTTTTATAACTCAATTTAATTAGAAGAACTAAAACTGACACAAATGAAGTGTATTCTATTTATTTTAGTGGAAACATTTCAATGTAATGTAACAAGTTTTCAAAGAACATAAATAAATAAAAATATTATTAAAATAAAAATTTAATCAAACAACAGCTTGCCATCTATCAGATTCCCTATTTTTCCTTCACTTATCACAAGAAATCATAGAGGTATCTCATAACATCAAAATGGACAGTTCTGAAAAAAATTGGAAAAAAACCTAATCTTATATGAACTATTCAAAGGCTGAACATAATTAAGTTAAGGGAAGGGTAAAAGAAGTCACTTGCAAAAAGATAAAAAATAATTTAGTTGCATTTTAATAAAAATACAACATATGTTTTTATAAAATTACATTTTAAAAAAATTTATTGAGCAATAAGCATTGATAAGAGTGATGGGCACTTCAGATTTTTTTTCTCTTTCTTTCAAAACACAATTAAGATTAAATTTTAATTAAAAAACTCAATATTGAGGGTATTTTAGACTACAAAGTGGCTATTCGCACCCGGGTACCAGAAGGGAGAGGTTGGGATTAAAAACTATTTAAAATATTATTGTTGGGTTTGTAAGACTTTGTACACTTACTTCTTCAGTTTAACTAAATTAAACTATCACTAATGACATCAAAATAGCAGTGACATCATTCGCACCCGGGTCACATTAGACCAATGCCATTCGGATGTCATTTGTGGTAGTTTATGTTAGTTAAACTGAAGAAGTAAGTTTATACACATATAGTCCATTCAGTTGTCTTTCATTTGATGTCTCATTTTGTCTTACAAACTCAACAATAATATTTTAAATAGTTTTTTTAATCCCAACCTCTCACTTCTCCTACCCGGGTGCGAATAGTCGCAGCCTTTAGACTATGTAGTAAGGCGAGTCAGATGACTGGAAAGTGCTGGTCACAAAAATATGTGCTAAGAAGAAATTCAATTAGCCATTTTTCTGTTTAGATTTTTGCGGCTGACGTTATTTTTTAAAAGAAATTTAAAGAATTTATAACTGTTGTGATCCCAAATTATGATTTTGATTGACAACATCAAAGACTTACTTAGCTATAGATCTAATGAAGTCCAAGTTTACCATACACTTATATTTTGGAGTAGCTATCCTGTCTTCACCCCCCACCTGGGTTAACAGATGGAGACTTACTAATGAACTGATCTGGAGAAGAAAAAAAAAATGACTTAGCAAAATTTAATGACATCTTCAAGTGTACTTGAACACTATACTACATGTACTTGAACACTATACTACATGTACTTGAACACTATACTACATGTACTTGAACACTATACTACATGTACTTGAACACTATACTACAATCTACTTAAAAAAAAGGATTATATTAAGCAATATGGCTTTTTAAAAAGTTATATATAGAGAAAAACTTTAAATTATAAATTAGAAGTGAAAGTTAGCGACCATTACTGTGTGGGCTCATGTAGAAAACTAGAAGAGCACTTTTGGTGCATTAGGCAGGAAAGTGTTCGCAGTTTATCACACGTAATTGTCTACCCATTTAAGTTTAATTTAACTCTGTACAGGCCAATGTTTTTGTTGTTCTTTTCATTTTTTTTTTAGGTCAATAGTTATTAAAAACCCATCATGTTAGTTCACAAATGAATGGGGATAGAAATTTTATAAAATGTGCTTGAAAATGATTGTGTGTTTTCTTACATCATGATTGATATGTGAAAATCATTTTACATTTTAGCAACTTGTTTACACAAACAACATCACGGAAGAAGGAAAAGAAAAACCTATGGAAGAAATAGTTTGATATTTATTGGAATCTAATTCAGCAAATTAAAATTAAAAGAATTTTACAAATACAAAGGTTAGTTTTCTTTTTACAAAACATGCGTAAATAGTGTTTTTACATATAACTAGACATGGGATCTTAGCATGCAGAATTATTCAAATACAAAGCTTAAAACCTATTTTTTAATATTGAAAAGTCCATATTTAATACAAATACATTTAAGTACATTATAACTACTAATTTGTATAATTAAAAAAAAAATGATTGAAATTTTAATAAAAATTAAATAAGTAGAAAATAATAATAATAAAGCTAGAGTTTACATGACTAAATCAGGCATAAAATAATACCTTACATGACTAAATCAGGCCTAAACAAATACAAACACAGTCTACGAGTCAGTCTGACACTATCTCTTTTCAAGTCAGTAACACAACAGCATGGAATAAGGCTCATGTACACAAGTAAACAAAATCAAAGGTAGAATTCTGTAGGTGTTATTTTCTTCCAGTAAGTATAGAGATACTGTTTTTCTTCTCTCATGAGGTTGGCATAAGCATTGCTGTAGTCACAAATTTTCAACATGATCTCCTGACAAAAAAGGGTTTGAAGAAATTTCCCGTGGACGATAAATACTTTATTTGTAAATTGCAGGTTAGCATGACAAAAAAGCAGAATTTATCGATCTAACACAAATATAACAATATTATAGCAATAATAATAATAATAATAATAAAGTTCATTTCAAAAACACGCTTCATCCCCAAAGGCTCGAAGCGCGGTACAAAGTCAACAAAAAACAAATCTATAATTTACCACATTTAAAACAAACGCAACACTACAAAAACTAATTACAAGCATACAATGGCAAAGTCTTTCTAGCCATTTCAACAATAAGCAACACAGCCATTATGCATTAACTGGAAAATAAGGTTGACAATCATCCCAGATGGTGTTTGCGAAATAGATGTGTCTTTAAATTTGTTTTAAAGGACTCCAGTGTCTGGTTGTGTCTGAGATCGACAGGAAGGGCGTTCCAAATTGTTGGACCAGCAAATGCAAAAGTGCGCTTTCTGTAAGTCTCAAGGCAAACACGTGGTGTCGAGAGTTTGCCACTATCGGATGAGCGGAGCTCTCTAGTGGGTACATAAGGCGTCAGCAGCTCTTTCAGTTAGGACGGCGCCAGGTCATGTAAGTAGCGGTAGCACAACGTTGCGATCTTGTACTCTATGCGAGCACGCACCGGCAGCCAGTGCAGCTCTCTCAGAAGTGTTTTTGCATGGTCGAACTTGCGTTTGCGGAGAACAATGCGAGCCGCATTATTCTGTGCTATTTGAATTTTATCCAGGAGCGTAGCTGGAAGACCCACCATGAGAGCATTGCAATAGTCCATACAAATTGTTATATACTTTTAGGATAAGAAAAGGGACGTATTTTTTTGCAAGCATAAAATTCTAAATATTAGGCCAATAGCCTTTATTATCATTCATTAGTACTGCAATTACAGTATCAAATTTTTCTTACCTGGAGTTTTCAGTTTTTGTATCTAATTTCTTGTTGCCTGCTTTTCAGATTCCAGAATATTGAGACCATGTTATCTTTTGTGGATAAATTTAGTTATGACCTGCGGGAGTCCCTGGTTAACATCTTTATATGTTTTTTTCAATCCAAATCAATTGGCAATTTATTATCTGCACTGATTAGAGAATTTTTTTAAAAATTATCTTTTTTTATATAACTATAAGGCTATATGAAATAAACTACCTAATAACATATTTTAAAAAGAATAAATTAATAACTTCCATTATCAGACCTGTTTACCCCCAAACTCCTAAAATCGTACAATATGATCTCAAAATCGTACAATGCAGTATTTGATAGTAAATAAATAAAAATACAGTAAATATAATGCATACAATAACTACTCCTATAGCGTGTTCAGTGGAATCGAGCTGAGCTGGCGTCAAAATATGGAACTGTAGGTAAACAGTAGATGACTGACGTTAACGGCAAACTGCGGTCACTTTGTTTAGCAGACGTGTATCGGCTAATACATATTAAAACTTGACGTCAGATAAGCATAAAAATAAAATGTATTAAAATAAGAATGAATTACCCGGTAACGAATTGGGACCCCCCACCCCTTTTTGTGTGTCTGTTACAGTGAGCTTTAAAACACCAGCCCAGCCCCCCCCCCCCCCCCATAAACTTAACAAAATCCATTGTATATTATGATGTTACAGTAAACAAAATGTGACACGGGTTTTCACTACTGGTGATTCAGCCCAGTGGTTCCCAGAATAAACGCCACATCGCCTTGGGTGCTCGTTGCCCTCGGTGGCTGCGGCTTCCTCATCGGGGCGTTGCGAAATATTTTTAAGAATTCATTATTTTATTTTCACTTTTAAACCAATGTGACAACTTTCGGTCGTGGTGCAAACAGTAACCCACTAAGCAATTGCTGTTTGCAGTTCCAGATGGCGCTCAGTGACCTACATACACGTTATATTTATTTTTATCCAACCCTTATTTTATTTGTGTATTCGCTATTTCGAATTGTACATGATAGAATTCAACACAGGGAGCCTGGTGAAAACGTAGTGTGGCATAGGCGCAGGGAAACGAAAATTTTAGAACCACTGGCGTAGCCCACCGAATTATACGTAACACGTGGCCTTACCATTCGATGGACTAAACATTACTGTAATTTCTCTAATACTGAGTTTAGGTATAGCTAGCAAGTTCATTTGTGAAAATACATCTTGACAACATCACGACGGTAATTCCTGCAAACGTAGGCTGGTAAATATCAATGTGCTATTTTAGGATTTTCAGAGTTTCGGGCTGAATATTGTAGTATTTTTAAATACCGCATGTAGGCCTACTTTCTGCCGAGGAATATCCCCCCCCCCCGCCCTTTCCACACCCCACAAACTGACATTACTAAAATGTAGGTGGTGGAGTTGATTTTATAGATTTAAATATTTAGACCCGCACCATACACACTATCTCCTAAATCCACACAACTCATTTTGCCTCTGATTGCTACTGCAGAATGTGCAGTGCGTATGATGGACCCTTCTATGAAGACCTCAACACAGTAAATTGTGTCTCATATTCAAGCAAGACTATCAACTTTCTTTATCTTTTGTTGAAGCTGATGTTTATCGGTAGAAGTAGAAGTTTCTTCTTCGTCATCGGTTTCGCGTGCATTTCTTTTTGTCGAGGCCATATCGTAAAATACTCACTAAGTAAATTAAACTAGGGGACCGAAAATAAAAAGGATAGCTGATTCCATTAATGGTAACATTAAAATCAGGCAATGTGCACCCCGTCAATGTAGCCAAATTTGAACGCCAAAGCTGTTTGGGAAATGTGACATTCATGCATAACATATGTGGTACGCAAAATAAACATTAAAAAGTTGTATAAATATTTATACCCCCCCCCAGCCGCACCTTGTCAACGTAAAACAAATGACCATCTTACTATTACGTAAAACAAATGACCATCTTACTATTACGTAAAACAAATGACCATCTTACTATTACGTAAAACAAAGGGCCATCTAACTATTACGTAAAACAAAGGGCCATCTTACTATTACGTAAAACAAAGGGCCATCTTACTATTACGTAAAACAAAGGGCCATCTTACTATTACGTAAAACAAAAGGCAATCTTACTATTACGTAAAACAAAGGGCCATCTTACTATTACGTAAAACAAAGGGCAATCTTACTCTTACTATTACGTAAAACAAAGGGCCATCTTACTATTACGTAAAACAAAGGGCCATCTTACTATTACGTAAAACAAAGGGCCATCTAACTATTACGTAAAACAAAGGGCCATCTTACCATTACGTAAAACAAAGGGCCATCTTACTATTACGTAAAACAAAGGGCCATCTTACTATTACGTAAAACAAAGGGCCATCTAACTATTACGTATTATGTACACGCTGAGGATTTGTATGACAGATTTGATTGGGGGGGGTGGTAAATAGACTGCACCTACATTTATGCATACAATAATTATCCTGACAGTCTCTTATAGAGCCAACTGTCATCTAAAAATCTGTGAATTTTAATTAGGCCTTTTATTATTAATATTATCAAGGCTATAAGAAATATTACAATATTTCGCAGTAAGCATACATGCCTACTCATATAAGCTACTAATGCTTTGTGTTTTCATAAGAGATCGCTGTAGTTGTAAAATTGAACATGACATATTGATAACACACTGTAGTCAGTAATTCGTCTTTCCGTGCTGGTGACATAATTATTTCCCTGGGCACAACCCCCCCCCCCCCCCCCCCCCCTCCCTGAAAAAAATTCCACATCCAACGTTCCAGTGCAGTAACAGTGGGATCATGTATTTTATTTTAAAACCATATCGTCTCTAGTTTTCCCCGTTTTCACAATCGCCGCGGTTCAAGGGAACAAAACTACGTCACACGCTGGGTAGCAGTCAAAGGGGATGGCAGTGAATAGTATAAATATTACCGGTGACGCAGCTAACTAGGTCAGTGTGACACACAAAGCAACACTATGACAATCATCACCATCAATACGATACTTTGCGGTGATATTTTTATAACCTTTGACACTCCGACCAACCCCCACCCATGTGTCCTGTATGCCGCAGCTCTCCTTCATTAACAACCCCCACCTCCCCTTTCAGTGCGCACATAATATAATGAAGGATGGCCCCAACTTTAAAAAAAAATACAACCAATCGTTTTTCTCGTTTCATTCACTGCCAGATTTTTATTGGAAAAGGCTAAAACTTCAACAAACGAATTTTAATCGGAAAATTTTTTTTTTTCACCGGCTCTCTGAAAATCATAGTTTTGGCGGGTCTCGGCGTACAATCGTAAAAGACATCTCAAAATCGTACATTGTACGCCAAAATCGTAAGAGTAAACAGGTCTGCATTATTTACTCAGGGTTAGGCAAATGATAAAAACAATGAAAACTAAAATCAGCTTTTTAATCGGCAAATTGTGTAAAATAACGCTTTTTACACATTTTTTTAAGCCAAAACACGATTGGAAAATAAAAATTATCATTACCGGTACAATATTGTAAAACTATTACTAGGAACCTATTATTTAACTGCACAATGTATTTTGTTGTACAGATTATTTAGAAATGTTAATTTTATTTGCCTAATTCAGTAAATACCTAGACTTACATTGTTTGACACTGTGCTTGTCTAGGTAAAAAAACATCCACATCTTCATCTGATGTTTTTTCATATTGATCTGTATCCCAATCATCAGAAGAGTCACTTAGGGTATCATCTCAGTCAAGTATTTTAGATTTTAAAATTATTTTTTATTGAAGCAGGTAGCTCAGTGGTCGGCAATCTCATTAATCAAAAGAGCAAAAATCAGCAGCAGGATGATTAAAATTATTTTGAGAGCCAAATTTCTTTTCAAGAACCAGTCAAGAACCATGTTTTTCTGAATCAAAACGGATTTGTGGCCGATTGGTTGAGACGCACTCAGGTCGCTATCGCGAGCAGCGATTTGCCGACCACTGATCTAGCTCCATTTGAGTCGCAACAAGAAAACAAAATGGATGACGTATGTGTCTCGGTCACGATAATTTAAAAAATAATTTTATTTAAAAAATGATAATTATAATAAAAACTTTAATTTTTAAAACTTAAATCCTTTTTATAACAATATAAATTTTAATTTTTAACGAAATTAAAAATAAATATTTTTTTTAAAAAAAGTTACGATTCCCCCCCATCTCACCCGGTGAAAACTACAGATTTCTCTAATATTGGCCTGTACAGAGTTAATTAATCAATAAATCATTAACAATTCTTTAAAAATTTACTGGAAAATACTTTAAAATAAGGATAATTGTAATCTGTTTTTTAAAATTATATTGAATTTATGATTTGCTTAGATATCTGGAGCCATTTTGAGCACTTCAACACTGTTCTAAAGTGTTATGTACTCAATTTTTATGTAATTTGCATTTAAAATGTTAACTAACCTGAACATAAATTTGAGCCGAAGGTGTGATATTTCCTTCAATAATGGAGTAGAATATTGCCATCAAGCGATCAATAGGAAACACTTTTGGCCCAAGCAGATGATTGCTAGCCTGGTAATAAAAATCATTTCGATAATATAAGTTAAGAAAAAAAAACTATGTTACCAGTCTCTTTAACTAGTTTGCTGATTAAGATACTTTTGATTTCAATTCTATTAAAACATTAGCTAAATAATAATAAAAGCTAGCATAAAAGAGTTTACACAAATAAAAATTGTAACAATATTTTCACAAATAGCTTTAATACAACCTTTCATAAAAGTTTAAGAGGAGGCATGACTTTTCTTATTTCAGTATCACAAATAAGCAAATACAAAATTATTACTTACTCGTTCATTCTTTTTGATAAGCTTAGATCTTCTTGAGGTTTTGCCTGAATTCTAAAATAAATAAATTTTAAGAACTAGAGCCAAAAGTGTTTGAGAAATATTACAACCTAAATAATATTAAGCTAGCAAACATATTTGAAAAAAATATTCTTTGTCAATGATGCATGTTTTTCTCTTAGTGAAGCTGAATTTTATAAACATTCTAGAAGATGTTACCCAGGGTAAAATGGAAACGATACTGCGTTACTTTTTTTCTTCTATACTTTCCCTCTCCCCCAAAATTTCAACCCATAAACGAACACTAATTTTTACACATCCCTATACCAACTTAAACCTCTGCACCACAATCTTAAAAAAATAATGAAATATGACAGTATCTAAATAACTTGGCAATATAAACTATAGTCTCTATATAATTTTAATTCTTTATTGCTCCATGTTCAATTAAAATAAAGTATCACCAAAGCAAAACGTCAAAATGACTTAAAACAATCTGTAGTTCAAAAACCACTTTTTGAAAGTGGGCTGTTCATGAAAAATAAAATTTATCCATAAGTGCACAAAAAGGATGTCAATAAAACATCCGCATTCATGTTCAAGTTTGATCTCCATGGCAAAATAATTCCTAATCATACTTTCTAATTTTAATTAGTCTTCTTTTTAATTAACAGCAGTTACGGTGAAAGTATTTTGACCTAACTTCACATGAACCATCCTTGAGTCATGATCATGATTGATATGAAAACCACACCATTATCTCCTAGAAACGGTAGGATGCTTAAAAACTAAAAACAAATTTACCTTAGCAAAAAATCTCCTGTCGTATTTCATAGGATTGTAGGATGCCAGGTAAGCAGCAATGAGCAAATACTTGGAATAATACGGAAGTTCAACGTGAGACCTTGATGGAGTTGCTATAGTTGAGCAAATGTTTTAATTATTATTTAATAAAGATTTCAAATCAGTAGGTATAATAAATGCTAAGCAATAATATTGTTGAAATTTATGTTTTTTTTAGATGTTTTAAGTAGAAAGGATATTTATTTTAGATTTGCAACTTTTTTTTCCAAAATTATGACAATCTTTGTAATTATTTTTTAATGACAAAATTCAATGAAAGGAATTACTTTTACACACAAAAAAGGCATTAATCTTTTGTATGACCATTTGACTTAAAGAATTCTTTAGTTATGGACAGTAATATATTAAAACGGAAGACAACCACCCATTGAGTGAGGGTTTAAATTAATTGACTCTTGTATAAATTTGTTACAAAATCTAATTAACAACCTTTTGCAAAGTCAGAATCTGGATTCTCAAGCTCTGCTTGCTGCATCTGTTTCCATTGTAAGCTAAAATAAAATAGCAAACAGTTATGACAACTACATAATCTGCTAAAAATATAATAATATATAAATAATTTAGACAAAATAATCAAGGAAAACAAATTGTAATTCTAATCTACTGCTGATTGAAGCAGAATTATGGCAGCCCCTTGACCAGCTGTAAGCACTGTATTTCCTCATATTTAAGAGGTACTGGTAGCAGGTTAAAAAAAATTCTGTCTGTTCTGAACATTGTCTTTGAGCTCTTAAAAAAATATTTTGTTTAAAATGTATCTGTTTTTTTATTTAATTGTATAATAGGATGCTGAAGAAGGCATCCAACCAAAACGTCCTCTTAACTCTCAACGTACGTTTTAAGTAAGTATATTGACTTTTTGACCACGAGTGACCGATGGATTATTTATAACTTGATTTTTTTCAAACCATTTTACATATCACAGTTATTTTTAACATGGAAATATAATTTTGTGGATAAATTTCTTAACAATATCAATTTTTAATCATAAATTTAGATTTTTTTCATTTTTAAAAATTTAGTCAGTGCATCCTGTTTAGTTTCTGTTCAGATGGGATTTTCATCCGCCATTTGTTAATTCTGTGAAACTTTACTGAAGGCTGATAGCACAAAATGACACACAAAAAAAGTCTCAACATTTATAGTCCAATGATTGCATTTCAAGTCACAAAGCGATAACAGCCTGATAAAAACAAGAAGAAGACATGACTGCTGAAGATTTTGTGTCTTTTCGCCTGTTTAAATGTTCACTGTAAGTGGTAAGATTTTTTTCTTTGTTACGACAGTCAAAACACACTCAAATTTTGTGAGATTAGTGGAAAAAAATATATTTACATTGGCATATTGTAATAGTGGACTTAATAAATATTGTAAATAAGTATTTAAGCTTACTGATATTAACTTCTTGTTCCAGTTTATGGCATCAAGGGTATATTTTTTATTTGTTATTTTATTTTTTATCAAAGCCAGAATTGTTTAAAATTTACTTTGTTTACATTGGATATGCTAAGACGGGGGTGGGCAAACATTTTCTACAGAGGGCCACATAGAAATCTTTATTGTCATCGAGGGGCTGCATATATATTTTGTCTGCTTCAATAACATTTTACAACGAAGAAATTACCTAGACACTTCCCTCAGATAAACACTCTTCAGAGCTATCTTTAAATGGGGCTCAATATTTCTCCACAACTTCTTAGCATTGGCTGCTGTGGCTTCCCCTTTGTTTACTGGCTCAATAAAATAAGGATAATTTAAGCGAGCCTGGAAAGACAATGCAAAATTAAGGAATTTAAAAAGAGGTAACTGGAAAACAGGAAATACAGTTAGATTTTGCATTAAAAATTGTTGATCACAACAGTAACTGGTAAAAAAAAATTAATGTGTTTTTTTGTTAAGTTCTCATTTCTGTTTAATATATTATATTAACAACATATATCTACAGAAATGGTATAACAAGATATATCTACAGAAATGGTATATTTGATCAAAGGTCTTACAACATGACGCAGCTCCCTAAGATCGCGACACACCATATGAAAGACTGAAAGCACAATGTTGACATACAATGAATAAAGATCTTTCTCACTTGTGGCTGGCCCATCAAGACACATAATTTCCTTTAATTCTTCTGAAAAATGAAATAGTCAACATTATATGCAACATGCCTTTTCTTTGCCAGAAGCAGCAAAATTTTTTCTTATGTACTCAATGTGAAAAAAATCATATGGTTTCTTCACTAGAACAACATTCTCCACCTTACCCCATCTTCCTCATAGCATCACTTTTAACTGAATGATGCACACATTTTATTTAAGGTGTCAGCAAAAAGTGTAAAAAATGCTGGAGCTTTTGACTGAATCACTGAATGCCTTTAAAAAAAATGTATTTTTTACATCATGTAAATTGACTTACGTTTGTTATAATCTGGAAAATGAATACTATATGGCTCACAAAATCCAGTTCCAGAGCGAAATTTTTCCCACACAATTTCTGATATCAGGATAATACAGATGTTCAGACCTGACTAAACATAGAAGAATGTTATTTAAAAAAGAGAGAAGCTCTTGAAAATTATAATAAAAATTATTTAAAAAAAAACATAATTAATTTTTTCTCCCATGCACATTGTCATAATTTGATATAATTCACCATGAGCTTACCAGTTCTTGAAGACGCAATATTGCTGGCAGTAGAACAGTATGTGCATCCCGAAGCCGTTCAGCCTTGTCAAATACCTTAGAGGCAAATTAATTTTTAATAACAATGATCTTGTACAATACAAAATTTTTTATTTTACTTAGTTTACATGTTTTTAAGCGCTTAGAGCTTTAAGGTAAGCGCTATATAAAAAATGCCTCAATAAATAAATAAATAAATATTTTTTTTTTATTCAAAGCAGAACCCTTTATACAATTTTTGAAATAACATATTACTTATTTTGTTCTTGCCAATAATTAAGAATTTAATATTAGATGAATATTTTGTTCATGTATAAAAACAACTGATTTCTCATTATTTTAATTTATAAATTACCACTGCATTCCAAAAAGCAATCAGCATTAAGATTTAAGAGACAGTGATAAATAATACAGGTACTTACTATGTAAAGTGTTTCATTCTTTAGGTCTGAGGATTGTACAATTTTCACTAAATGGTGAATAAAACTTGTCATGTCATCACAGTGTAAATATTCATCATTGTCAGTGCCATCAAATGTGGCAGAGTTAGGTGAATCAAAGTTATGAGAAACATGTGGCATATTATTAAGAATGTGTTCAAATAAAAATCTGGGACTTGAACACTCCACACAGTTTATACAAATATAAGGTAGCTGAAAGAGAGGGTGAATTTTTATTCATATTTAAAAAGAATCAATATAATTATTAAATTGAAATTAGAATACTGTATCAAATTCAGATTAAAGAATGTGAAAGTTACTTTTTTTTCTTTTAAAAAATTTCAAATTTTGCGGCCCCTCATATATATTTATAAGATTCAAAGGTGACGTTGGAGGATAGGCCAGAACAGAGGCTTTTTGAGATATTGCAGCAAATTAAAATTCAAGTAAGTCTTCAATTAATGCACGCCTTAAGAGTTTAAAAAAAGGTTCTTTATATAAGTTGATTAGAAATGGATTATTTAAAATTGTGAAGACTTTTAAGTAAAGCTGTCTAGCCTCATATGTTTACAATCAAATAGACATAGTGATTATTCAATTTCTTTTAACAGTATTTTCCATTTTGTTAAAATGTCTCATCAGAAAATAAAAATATACAAGCCTTGTTCTTTGAAAGCAACGTCTGAACAACAAGAGATTTTCCTGTTCCAGTGTGGCCATAAATGAACAGTGAGCCAGGGGTCATGTGTTGTCTCTGAAAATATATGAAATAAACATTATTGGACATTTCTCTTAGTAGGACTACAAACCATTTAAACACATACAATTATAGTTGCACCAATTAATTAGCATTTACATGGTAACCTGTTAAACTACTATTTTGATGGATAAGTCTTTTTTTTGAAACCATCAATTAGTTTTTGGAAATCAAAAACTTATAGTTCTACATACATATTGGATTTAAATCTAGTTTTAAATAGAATCTCGGAAATTGTGTGAATCTGAATGATTTCATTAAATTTTTATCATTACAGATATGTTCAAGTTTCTGTTCCTACTATTATTATATTTATCTCTTTTTTCCTACTGGTTTTAATTTTTGTGTGACATGGTCAGTGTCTAAGATGCAGCTACATAAGCATTAAAATAATGTTTTTCTGTATAGTTAATATCCTGTACAATTCTTATCAATTTAGAATGATATCAAGACAATCAAAAAAAATCACATCTTTTGATTTCATGTGAATATATTTAAGCAAGGACTCTCTTACCTTGCCAAATAATGAGAGTAATAATTTAATCTGTTGGTCTCTACATTTTATCCAACTGTTAAATGTGTGTGCATGGTCTTCAGACGTTGAATCTAGAAGGCTGTCACCCTCCATCATACTTGGAAAATATGAATTATGTACCCAGCACTATTGAACTGAAATACAAAAGTTATAATTTAGCACATCATGAATAGGCAAACATAAAAAAAACAAACACCCACACACAAAAAATACCTAGAACAATATATGTAACATGTAAAATAAGACAACCATTTACCCAGGTAGGTATGTGCATGGGTGGGATTTAGAAGGGCAACTTGGTCTTGGGAAAAACAAGAATGTCTTAATCAAGACTAATTCTAATAGTAATAGTTAATACTGATATTATGATATTAAAATATTTACAAATTCAATAGTAGGACTAAATAGTAAAGTAGGCTAAGTCACCAAGTCAATAGGTTAACGGCTATAATATGGTATGGATTATAAATAGAGAAGCGTTATACACAGTCGGCTGCGCATAACCCTGAGAGTTATACACAGTCGACTGCGCATAACCCTGCGAGTTATTCCCAGCCGACTGCGTATAACTTAGGGTTATACGCAGTCGGCTGGGAATTAGCCAAATAAGGTTTATTACCGCTAGTTTGGCAATTTTTAAAAAAGTATGCATAATTAGCTGCATGATGGGTTGTTTTGAACTAGAACTTTGAATGTGTTTAACGTAAAATTTTAATTGAATTAATTTTAATTAATATTGAATGATAGTAATAGTATTAGTATTAGTGCTATTATTAGTATTATTGCTTGTATCTTATATGTTATAATTATAAGTCTAAGTCAAAGTCTACATTTCTTAGACTTTAGAGTCTAAGTCTAAGCCTAAGAAGATGATTTTTTAAAAGCCATTTCCATGGTCCAAGTCTAGTTCTGTATTCTGATTGATTAGGTTTTTATATGTTGCTATGACCATGTCATGTGGTTGGTTTTACTGACTAATTCAGGAAATACATTCTATTAATTTTTTTAAAAAATTATATCATTAATTTTTTTATTTGGTAACCTAAATGTAACAGTTTTCAGCTTCCATGCAAAACTATAACTGTGTGAAAGTATTAATTAAAGTGCAGAACCCCCTGCCCCTACAGCTATTTGTTTCTGCTACTCTCCACTGACCACTCCTGATTATATTACTGTACCAGAGAAACATGATTTTATCTGCCACAACATTAGTTAACAACACAAAAAAATATGTTAACAACACAAACATATATTATGATAATCATAAGAATAACATTATTAACATTACATTAGTCAAGTTAATAATTCTTATCATGTTTTAACATTTTTTAAGCCACAACAAAAGTTAAACAAAATCCCTAGCTTCATTCTCGAGAACAAACTTAACTTACTAACTTAATAACACATTCACGATTGGCATTTGCTGAGAACTCCTGACCCCAACATGAGGTTCGCTCAGTTTATACCATTCCACCACACAGCCACCCTGATAACGAAGCATCTTTATCGATGGATAATATAACACAGGAAGAATATAGACCTCACGTGACTTGCCGACTGCGTATAACTCTCAGGGTTATTCGCAGTCGGCTGCGCATGGCATAACCACTTTGTTATATTTCAATTACTTATTACTACAACTACAATTATTATTATATTATTTTTAAAGGTTAGAATGTTCAAGTACCATTTATTGAAGACAGTGTCAGTGTCATTGCTAGTGAATAGTGTCCACTGCTGTAGTGCATCAGCGACTAAAGCAAGTGATATTACTGATACCCACGCCATGAGAGAAAAAAAAGATAGACTATGACTTGGCCTACAATTTACACTTTGACTTTACACTTAATTTGTTAATTAAATTGTTACAAGTTACAGTGTGAGTGAATACAAAAAAATAGGCCTGCCTACCCAATATCAAAAATAATTTGGCGCGAGCTGTGTAAATGCTGTAATTACTATGCTGACTCTATAATTGAAATAAATTAATACATAATTCCACAGCATTACCTAAATTGCTCACAATAATAGTCTACAGCAATAATTAAAAATAAATTAGCTTAAATAGCAATGAGTGTACTGTAACTTAAATATAACTATTTCAATTTCTTTCGGCGGAAGTAGACAAGACATTTATGTTGCAAATTGCAAACTATTAAAATCAAGAACAAGGGACATCATTCTGAATTAATTTTCCTCTCAAATTTCGCTTTCCTTTAACTGACATAACTCCTAACTTTAAGCGATTCATATATTTTTGTAAAAGCTTCTTATTACAATATTTTACAGCAAGCAACATCTTCAAAATGCGTGTACCCTCAATAGTGTTATACATAAAAATACTACATTAAAAAAATTATAAGTGTTACAAATATTTATGATGTTAAAATTTATTTTGAACTTGTGATTACTCACAATAATGATGTGCTGCGAGAGAATCATGACAAAAATTACATCATATATATAATAAAATATAATGCCAACTATTATATAGAAATTCCTTTTTCTTTAAAAAAAAAGACTATTTTCTTTAAAAAAATTGGCCTTTACATGTGCACAGTCGTATTATACATGTTGATATATTAAATCATTGGTAAATTGCGTTGTTTTTTTTAAATACAAGAGGTAACAAGAATAAAAATAAATATATAATAGTGTTTGGACCACAAGTCTCAGGAATGACCCATTTATGGGTGGCTAGCTACACGTACGGATAAAGAGGCCAGGTATTAAAACGGTCGTAGGTGGAGACTTGTAAAACTGCCCAGACAGGTTTTCCTCGTAGGGCGATATCAACTCGGCCGGTTTCTGGTGTGTTAATTGTGTGGTGTGAATGGAGCGTAAATCTATATTTGAAACAGGCGAAGTGGAATGTGCTGGGCATGGTTTGTGTAGGACCGAACTCAAAGCCTCACCCTTTTAATATTTACCTGTAACAAGAAGCCTACACACCAATTTTGTTTCGGACACTACTCACCACGACCCTTACCATCGCTGAACGCCGTTGAAGTCAACACCACACCATTGATATATTTTTTCATTGTGGACTAAAAAGCAGTACAAGTGAGTGCTGGAAATAATTATTATTTTAAAATCGTATTTTATAGTCCAAGAAAAGGTTGGGTGTTGTCGTTGAACTAGTTATCAGCTTTGTTGTGGGGCAACTCACAGCTTGTTTTCTCAGCTTTGTTGTGGGGCAACTCACAGCTTGTTTTCTCAGCTTTGTTGTGGGGCAACTCACAGCTTGTTTTCTCAGCATTGTTGTGGGGCAACTCACAGCTTGTTTTCTCAGCCTTGTTGTGGGGCAACTCACAGCTTGTTTTCTCAGCTTTGTTGTGGGGCAACTCACAGCTTGTTTTCTGGTCCAACTGCTAGTGTTCGTTTTACTTTAATAATCGCAACTGTTCATCATAGATAACTATAAATACTATAATACTGTCATGATTAGACACAAACGTATTATATAGGCCCCTATCCCATTTTTGTTTAGCGCACCAAGTTGCTGAATGGTTTTCTTTAAATTTGGCTTTTGCTGATAAGTAGACTTCAATTTAGATGAAATCCCATCGTATCATTGACCATTTCGAAGTTTCCCCAGGCAACTTTGATTGCAATTTTATTTGAAGACGAATATTTATATTTACGTTTAATGCATATTTCATTTCAACATGTCCAAATACGACTGTACTCATTTTAAAGTTACGTTAATTTAATGACGAATGCTTCCCTTCCGACTTTTAATGACGTCAATTTAATTTTATATATATATATATATATATATAAACATATATTCTGGTATTGTAATTTAGTAAAAAAGCTACCCATTAACACATGCCTTGCAAGTGTCGTCCTTTAAAATGCTGAATTTTTTTTTAAAAAAAGGTCAACCCCCGGGGCCGGGGCTAGTTGAAGTAAGTGCGTTGATTCAGAGATGAGTGGTACACTGCAATGGTCAGCATAAAACTATTTAAAACTCCACATTCCTATTAAAAGCACTCACAAATTATCTAACCATTAGTACATACATTATTCATTCTGACTGTATGAAGGAGTACTGGGTGGTCGAGTGATTCAAACTGAGGCAAACCCATGCTTGTTGACTGGAGTTCGATCCTTGTGATTTCGTCCTAAACCATCCTCATGACCTCATCAGTTACAGTTACAGATTCGTCCTATAAAATCTGCAGTATACAAAAATCTTCTAGCAAAGAAATAACAAATGTAACGTTTTTAAATTCAAACAAATGTACATATAACTTACCAATTGATTACCATTATTTCTGTCAAGTCATATTTACAAATGATGACGCAACCCTACCACAATGTTATTATTTCATGAAATAGAAATCTGTAAGATAGTGTCCTGGAGACCTTTTGTTTAGGCTGGATAGTCTTGATGCAACCTTTTGTTTAGGCTGGATAGTCTTGATGCAACCTTTTGTTTAGGCTGGATAGGCTTGATGCAACCTTTTGTTTAGGCTGGATAGTCTTGATGCAACCTTTTGTTTAGGCTGGATAGTCTTGATGCAACCTTTTGTTTAGGCTGGATAGTCTTGATGCAACCTTTTGTTTAGGCTGGATAGTCTTGATGCAACCTTTTGTTTAGGCTGGATAGTCTTGATGAAACCTTTTGTTTAGGCTGGATAGTCTTGATGCAACCTTTTGTTTAGGTTGGATAGTCTTGATGCAACCTTTTGTTTAGGCTGGATAGTCTTGATGCAACCTTTTGTTTAGGCTGGATAGTCTTAATGCAACCCTTTGTTTAGGCTGGATAGTCTTGATGCAGTATTTGAAAGTTCCCAGCAAGGGAAATGAGGACATTTGCTTCGTCGTTCGTACATAGTTAATATGCGTATGTGGTGCACAAATAAGTGAAAGTATTTAAAACACTAAACACTGATTAACGCTTAATGGAAAGCTTTCCATGGTGAAAACAAAGTTTGTGCAACCACTATAGAAATTGGAAACAATGCGTTGCATATTGGTTTTGATCCATCATTGAACTTGAAGATCGATTGATCTGAAAAAATGAAAAAAAAAAAAAAAGAAATCTCTGATTTAGTTACCTTGGATTTCGTATGAGGGNGACGATGTAGAGAAGGAATTACAGCAGCGGGGGGGGGGGGGTCCATCCACGGAGGCGAAGGCCATGGAATCGGCCAAATGGAAGGATGTGGCGGAGCAGGCGAGGACTCTACATGTGTTTTACACCGCTGATGGGATCATTCGTGATCATCATCATTACCAGTGCGCTAAAAAGTGTAGTGTAGAATATAAGAGGAAAGCCGTTAGAGATACAACTGAAGTTTAGAAAGATCTCATCGCTAAGCTTGAAATCGGTTCACGTATGGCTGATCTCGTTAATATGTTCGTTATGCCAAACTTGAATGTATGTACGATTTTTTAAAATAAAGAAGCTGTCAAAGCAGTGGATGTGGCGAAAGGGGTTTTGATACTGACCCCAAGTGAAACGAAATGTATGGGCTATATTTAAAAAAAAAACCCACAACATTCCTATTAGTTTGGAGAACTATAAGAAAATGACTTGGATCCATAAAGTTTGTGGGACCCAGGAACGGATTCATCCAGTTTCTATTATTTTAAGGTGAAAAATTGTCTTAGAAATCGAACGATTTGGAACTGGAATGGGTGTCTGAAGCGGATTAAGTTCTGACTCCAAGGTACCACGGGTCACGCTTACTATATCACATTACATCTTTGTTTTTTCTCCTTTTAATTTAGGTCCACGGTCACGATGGAAGACGCCAAGTACACCGAGGAAATGGTTTTAGTATACCACTTCAAGTACATGCGAGAATACAGAGGCGTTTCTGTCCTGTGGGCCGTTCTCACGATCATTTGGTGCATCCTCAATATCGTCTGCTTCGTCCAGCCTCAGTGGATCGGTGACACGGAGGAATCCATTGGATACGGCCACATCGGCGTCTACGCCTACTGCTATCCCGACGCTGTCAATGGTAAATACATCTGTTCTGGGTCGTTCACAGATTTCGACACCATCTTGAACGGCTCGTTTAAAGCGAGCACCTTCTTCTGTGGAGTTGCTGCCCTTCTTATGCTCATCACTGTGGCGGCGCTGATGCTGTTCTTCTGCTTCAAGAAGACTGCGGTCTTTGTGTTCTGCGGGATTCTGGAGCTTGTTGTTGGTGAGTATAAAGCTAGACTCAGATCTTGGGTGTGGCGTTATGATTCATGGCTATGGATGACCTGTCCCATATTTATAACTTTGAGTTTGTGCAAATCATTATAACCTTTAAGGGAGGGGTCTGTGCATTTTCCTCTGTGATATTTTCCAAGTAACTTGACTAGGTACAAAATACAATTACAAATAATTTTCCTTTCGTATTTATGAAATTAAAAGTTATGCGACCCTTTATGAAGGCGACTATTCCATTTAGACTATATATCTAATCTACTTTTAGTTGGGCTCGCCCTGCAAGTTTACTGTAAATTATTTAGGCCATTTTCATAGCGCAATGTCATTGTACAAAACCAATCAATCTCAATGTCTGCCCCGTGTTTAATTTACAAAGATGGAGTGTTTTAAAAATGAATTATTGCAATAAAGATGTAGCCTACAAACATCATCAATACATTCGTAACAGTTTATGTAGTAATATTATAGAAATTCTACACACTTATAATAGTTGTTTGATCTCACGAATTCTTTTAAAACAATTTCATGTTACCATTTTGATTATTTTAATTCGAGCGCTTACATATAGCAATGTCACTCTCTCACACACATACATACACACACACACACATTCATAAACGATTTGAAAAGGATGAATGGATGCATAGGAAGGTGCTGTGTGAAGTAAATAGTCTAGTATTAAGAATAGACACACATTGAACGAGGTTACAGAATGAGGGACGCACTGCCCCGCTACTGATAAGTCTCTCGCAAACATGACTGACTTCTTGTGCTTTTTAAAAATGGTTTGCATATGGATTTGATTTTAAATGTTAATAATAACGCATTGTTTATGTTTTATAGATCAATTTGGAGATCTTTCCTTTCATAATAACAGATTTTATAGTCTGTTTCATAAATAATAATAATAATAATAATAATAAAGTTTATTTCAAAATCACGCTTCATCCCCAAAGGCTCGAAACGCGGTACAAAGTAAAAAAAAATAAATTAAAAAAAAATAAATAAAAAAATGCTGCTATGAGAATATCTTTAGTATCAGAGCGTATCGTTATACTAAGCAAACCATTTTCATCCAAATCAGTCGTGTCGATGTGTTAGCTTTTCCACAACACAATATTGCTAATCAGTCTTTAAATAAAGTTTAAATTACACAAGACAAGGAATATGAGATATTTGACTAGTGAACGAATATTTATAGAGGAGAGTTTACTGGAGGAGTAGACGGCTACAGAGGAGGGACATGTTAAGGGAGGTAAATGGTGAGGGTAAAAAACAGGGCAGTGTCTACACGTCCGGCGACCGGACAAATAGTGCGGTAGATATTCTTCCGGGCGGGCATGTCACGTGACCGCCGGACGACTATGAGTTATTTATTATTCCGGCAGACATGTCATGTGACAAGAAGTCGCCGGCAAACTATGTTTAAAAAGTCCGTTATCTTGTTTTAAATATCTTATAAAGCTCTACCCAGAAGCCTACATTTAAAGTATGAATTATCTTGTTTTAAATATCTTATAAAGCTCTACCCAGTAGCCTACATTTAAAGTAGGAACCAAAGAAAATAAGACCAATTGACACAATAGATATACTGTCAAAAAAGTTTTATTTTAGGCTACTAATATTGCGTGAGAAGTAGGCTACCCCAACAGCACCTTATATTGAGCCTATATTAAGATGTTGGGTCTATTTCTCCCCGCCTTAATTATTTATCACCCTCACAATAATTTTTATCCTTTCTCTCTCGCTCTCAGTATTTCTTCCTTCTAGTATGCATTGCTATCCCCCCACCCCCCCCACACACACACAAATCCACTTATTTCATGATATGAAGTGTATACTCGTCGCCTCCAATGCATCTCCGACGCCAGTTTTATGATCGACTATTAGCGGTCACGTGACCAGACTGACGGACAGATATCTCGCACAACTTTGTTACGGTGGTCATGTGACCTGGTCACCGGACGAATATCTCGAGAACTTAATCGTCCGGTCGCTGGACATGTAGACACTTCGCAAAAAGAGAGTCATTGGTAATGTGGGAGAGGGTTGAGCTATAAAATGTACATACGTTCTTAAAAAACAATTATTTCATAGCTCAAGCTATTGGTTTTATTGCGTTCCTTTTGTCAGGTTTGACCATACCTTATTTGACCCATTTCCTATTCAAGATATTTATGGTCTCGATCTGGGGTTTGGAAATCGACGGCCCGCGGGCCACATCCGGTCCGCGATGTCGGTTTATACGTCTCGCTCTGTTAATAGTGATTTTGAACCCACAGAAGAATTAGCCTCTGCATAACAACAATGAGGGACATATTTTCAAAAAGGTTCAAAAGTCCATCGGAGTCAAGAATATGCTGCACAAGTTGAAACGTTCCATCATCTAATTGTTGGCCACTCCGTCCTGTGATCAAATGCGCCATAGATATCTTAGGTGGATCTTTCAAGTTTCCATTCATGGCTCACATAGGTGGTCCGATACCTCATTGCCGTAGAGGAGCGTACTAACTTGTGGACGCGTAGTTTGGTCCTCTCTGTAAGATAATGCGTGTGAAAAGCTTTAAATATTTTGAAATTCGTTGGTTATAATGAGTTTTTCTCAAACTGGAAAACTTAAAGGTTTTGAATATGTATTTTGGGGACGGGAATATTACGAAATCCACCCCAAATTTTCTTGTGGTCTCACTTAACGTAGAGATCGAATGTGCAGCATTTTCAGTCAGTTTAAATTGCCAGCGCGTCACAAACGTTTATGTTTGGGAACAAACTTTTCAATTAAATGAGACAAGACATGAAAGAAATTAACAACGAATTAAAACAAAACAACACTATTTTATAAATAGTCAATTGTTAATCAGCAATTAACTTAAAAAAAAGGAAGTACTTCACAACAAAGCAGTGCTTCCAAAACGAGCTTTAAATAATAATGTCCTCGTTTTATAGCCATTTTAATTGTTTCTATAGTATAGTAGTTACTATCCTAATGTCTCATTTTTATTTTAGTTAGTTTACATGTTTTAAATAATTGTAAAGCGCTTAGAGCTTTAAGGTAAGCGCTATATAAAAATGCCTAAATAAATAAATACATATCTTCTATCATATCCACCATTGGCTCATGTTAAATTGATACCAATGAAATACCAAAGGTAGTTGTGGTAGACTGGTGGGTGGGGGACAAGTCACGATTCAGATAAAGTAGTTTGATCAAGTCAAGAGAAACACCAAATCACTTGTCTGCGCACAGGGAAAACCCCTTTAGATCCCGATTCAGAATGCGTAGTTGAATACAAATCTCAAAAATAAAAGAACATATTTCACATTGCTCATCTGATGGCAGAGGGATTCTAATCTTTAGTTAGCATGGCATCAACTAGATCTTAAATTTTGTTCCTTTTACAAAATATCTTTTTAGCCCATGTAGAACATTATGCAATATTGTGTTACATATATGAATGTGACAAAGGATTTCTATAAAATTCAATCCTGCTATATGGGTTATATAATTAGAACATGTTTATCTGACGCAGTTAGAGTGCTGCTCTATTGATTGCAGCGTTACAGGCAAACTTCATCGGGACACAACAAATAAAATACTTCATTTAGAATTTTAAAGTTATTTTTTTTTTACCCTTTAACATAGTGACACTCGCGTGTCGGTATTATATCATTTCTAATATTTAGTTCCTAATTTAAGGAACAAAAAAATCTTAAAATTGCCCCCCCCCCCGGCACCTCCCACATAAAATCGTATCCGGAAATTTAATCGAAAGAAATTTCGTCGACGGTTATTTGATCGAACGAAAATTGATGTGCACACGTTTAGGTTTGATAATGTGCACAATTTAGGTTTGATGATGTGCACACGTTTAGGTTTGATGATGTGCACACGTTTAGGTTTGATGATGTGCACACGTTTAGGTTTGATGATGTGCACAATTTAGGTTTGATGATGTGCACAGGTTTAGGTTTGACGATGTGCACACGTTTATGTTTGATGATGTGCACACGTTTATGTTTGATGATGTGCACACGTTTATGTTTGATGATGTGCACACGTTTATGTTTGATGATGTGCACACGTTTATGTTTGATGATGTGCACACGTTTATGTTTGATGATGTGCACACGTTTATGTTTGATGATGTGCACACGTTTATGTTTGATGATGTGCACACGTTTATGTTTGATGATGTGCACACGTTTATGTTTGATGATGTGCACACGTTTATGTTTGATGATGTGCACACGTTTATGTTTGATGATGTGCACACGTTTATGTTTGATGATGTGCACACGTTTATGTTTGATGATGTGCACACGTTTAGGTTTGATGATGTGCACACGTTTATGTTTGATGATGTGCACACGTTTATGTTTGATGATGTGCACACGTTTATGTTTGATGATGTGCACACGTTTATGTTTGATGATGTGCACACGTTTATGTTTGATGATGTGCACACGTTTATGTTTGATGATGTGCACACGTTTATGTTTGATGATGTGCACACGTTTATGTTTGATGATGTGCACACGTTTATGTTTGATGATGTGCACACGTTTATGTTTGATGATGTGCACACGTTTAGGTTTGATGATGTGCACACGTTTAGGTTTGATGATGTGCACACGTTTATGTTTGATGATGTGCACACGTTTAGGTTTGATGATCTGCACACGTTTATGTTTGATGATGTGCACACGTTTAGGTTTGATGATGTGCACTCGTTGAAACGGGACGTAGGAAAGTCATCTCTTTACATCCGGGTGTCAGGTTTGTGTCACCGAGAGACCAATCTATAATCTATGTCATCTCACTAACTTGCTGTATGTCATCTCACTAACTTGCTGTATGTCATCTCACTAATTTGCTGTATGTCATCTCACTAACTTGCTGTATGTCATCTCACTAATTTGCTGTATGTCATCTCACTAACTTGCTGTATGTCATCTCACTAACTTGCTGTATGTCATCTCACTAACTTTCTGTATGTCATCTCACTAACTTTCTGTATGTCATCTCACTAATTTGCTGTATGTCATCTCACTAACTTGCTGTATGTCATCTCACTAATTTGCTGTATGTCATCTCACTAACTTGCTGTATGTCATCTCACTATTTTGCTGTAGGTCATCTCACTAACTTGCTGTATGTCATCTCACTAACTTGCTGTATGTCATCTCACTAACTTGCAAAGTGGCGCTTTGATTATTTAAAAATCCAAGGAGTGTCAGTTAATAGTGTCGATATTTCCACGACACACCTTTCATAAACACAGATGGACAGTTAAATTACCCCCCCCCCAACCTGACTTTCACGATGGATTTCTCCTTGTAAAAATAAATCCACAATTTATCAATGACAAGAAACAAAAAACAAAACAATCTTTGATTATTTAAAAATCCAAGGAGTGTCAGTTAAAAGTGTCGATATTTCCACCACACACCTTTCAAAAACCCAGAGGGACAGTTAAATTACCCCCCCCCCCCCAACCTGACTTTCACGATGGATTTCTCCTTGTAAAAATAAATCCACAATTTATCAATGACAAGAAACAAAAAACAAAACAAAAAAAACAAAATTGAAGTTCAGGAGGTCAAAGGTCAATGTGTTTAAGAACTGTAACAGCGTTACGTTATCGTTATTTTTACATTAAATTGACCTCATTAAAAATGTTCCTTCCCTGGTTTTCTTAGCTGCACACCTGTCCATCACTTGAAGCAAAATCAACATCCTTCACCGTAGCTATTTAATTGATATTAGAGCCAGATCAAAAAGCCTTGACTGTTCCATGGTGGATCGTAAATAGATTTGATACGCTTTCGTTTTGAAAAGCTCTGATCACTTGAAGCCTCATACACACAGATCGTATGAAACAACTGAAGGCTTATCGAGAGTACTGAAAGAGATTCAGGAAAGTCTCATTCAGCTATGAATTTTAAGACATCAAATACTGACCAACCAGTCGATGACTTTGTGAAATTCAATTTCAGCTACCTTTAGGTGTCTTCTAAGCCTTAATATTTCTTTTTAAAAGCGTATCTTGTGATACTTCAACATAGAAAGAGGTTAATTTTCTTACGGGCATCAATAACTCTTCTTCACTACCTTATAGTAGACTCTTGGGTTGAACAGCCCAAAACATATCTGCTACTTTCTTGATTGTAGATGATCTGTAGTTCAGAATGAAAGCTGTCAATACACCACAACATCTCCATACTGTTTTCTTCAGGCAGAGAGAGTCCAGCATCTAGTAACTGTTCTCCTGCCATTCTCTTCTTAAACCTTAATCTTCTTTCTACAGAAATTCCGGATTTGTCTTATTTTAAAAGTGCCTTTTCAACAGCATGTTCCACCAAGTTACAGCGCTTTCGTGGAGATACAATCTTGAGTCCTCTAGGTTGGTCAACACTTTATCAAGAGTAAAGAGACCGACCGAATTTCGGCTTCCGTTTCGGCGCCGAAAGTGGCCATTTTATCACTTTCGGTCAAATTTTGGTTTCGTCCGAAATTGAAAAGTTAACTTTCGGCTTAATTTCGGTTTCGGCCGAAAGAGAAAAGTTAACTTTCGGTTTTTCTTTGGTTTCGGCCATCCGAAAGTGACTCAGCGAAAGCGATATTTAACAACATACTAAGCGACATTTAAGAACAAATTACGCGATTTTTTAGAACAAACTAAACGATATTTAACAACAAACTAAACGATATTTAACAACAAACTAAGCGATCTTTAAGAACTATCTAAGCGATCTTTAATAACAAACTAAACGATCTTAAAGAACAAGCTAAACGATTTTTAAGACCGAACTAAATGATCTTTAAGAACAAAACAACTGATCTTTAATAGTAAACTAAATGATTTATAAGAATAAACTAAGCGATCTTTAACAGAAAACTAAATGTTCTTTAAGAACAAACTAAAAGATTTTTAAGAACAAATTAATCAATGTTAAGGAACAAAATCAATTATTTTTAAAAACAAACTAAGCGATCTTTATGAAAAAACTAAGTGATCTTCAAGAAAAAAATAAGCGATCTTTAACAACAAACTAAGCGATCTTTATGAACAAACTAAACGATCTTTAAGAACAAATAAAGCGATCATTAACAAAAACTAAACGATCTTTAACAACAAACCAGGCGATCTTTATGAACAAACTAACCGATCTTTAATAAAAAATAAAGCGATCATTAATAAAAACTGGACGATCTTTAACAACAAACTAAACGATCTTTAACAACAAACTAAGCAATCTTTAACAACAAACTAAGCGATCTTTAACAACAAACTAAACGATCTTTAACAACAAACTAAGCGATCTTGACAACAAACTAAACGATCTTTAACAACGAACTAAGCGATCTTTAAGAACAAATTAAGCGATCTTTAAGAACAAATTAAGAGATCTTTAAGATTAAACTTAGCGATATTTTAGAAAAAACTAAGCGATCTTTATGAACAAGCTCACCAATCTTTCAGAACAAACTAGCTGATCAATAACAACCAACCAATAACAACCAACTAAACGATCTTTAAAAACAAATTAAGCGATCTTTCAGAACCACAATTTTTAGAGAGCCAGTTTAAAAAATAATATTTTGCATTATTTCCCCCCCCCACCCCAATTTTTGGCAAATCTCTCCTACCATACTAATTAAAAAAAAAATTGTAAATCAATTTAAATTACTTTTATATTAAATTGGTAAAATCCAAAGTATTCATTAGATCAAAGGTCTCAAACTCAAATCATCAGGGGGAGGTGGGGCGCAGGAGGAAGTGTCTGAATGAGAGTGGGCCGCATCAAGTAATCCACAAAAAAAGCGATTACAACTGTTACAATCTGCTCAACCTTTATAAATCACAATAAAACCATTAAGGGTTCTCAAGAACTAGGATTCCCTTTCATCCACCTACTCACTGTTGCATACAAAAATATGTAGAAACATTTAAAACAAATCAGAATTAGACTAGTCGGTGAGATTCGACTGAAACCGTCGCGGAGAGTCACGTTATAGATATGAGAATGGGGGAAACGGGCCGGCGCATTTACACTAAACTTTTCTGTCATGTAGCGGGCCGCAAACTATCGTCTTGCGGGTCACAAATGGCTCGCGGGCCGCGAGTTTGAGACCCCTATATTAGATGTTTATTTATTAATATCCACGATTATCTCATTTTTTATAAAAAGAATGTAAATATTTATACTTTCCCACATCATTTTCGATGTATGCAGAATGTATGCGGGAACGAATTTCAAAATATCTTTCATTTTCGGTTTCGGCTTCGGTTCGGCCAGAATTCATTTTTAACTTTCGGCCTTTTTTTCGGTTTCGGCCGAAATCAGAAAATCACTTTCGGTCGGTCTCTACTTACACCTTCAATTTTACTTCACAGCAATCTTCATGTTCCTGGCCTGCGTCATCTTCCCATCTGGTTGGGGTGAACAGCGAGTTTACGACCTATGTGGAGCCGAGGCAGGAGAGTACAAGATAGGCAAATGTGGGGTACGCTGGGCCTACATCTTGGCCATGCTGGGAATTTTCGATGCCTTTGTGCTGGCTCTTTTAGCGTTTTTCCTGGCATCCAAGAGGGCGAAGCCCGGCAAGCAAGCACGTTATGTTAATGGAACAGTTACAAAATGTAAGTTTTGAAAAGAGTTTTGTTGAGATATTATCTGTGAAAAGTAATGTGTTAGCAGCTCAATAGTATTATGTTCTTTTCCTGTCCATTTTAATTATCGCAACATATGTTCATATTTTTGAGCTTTTTAAAAAATACTTTAGTCATCATGAATTTAAATTCGATTTAACTTTTAGTCCTAAACCTTTAATGCTAACAGAGTGAAATATACATTTTAAAAAATTGTTTCATCATCAGCTGAACAGAATTGGGAAATTCTTCTCTAAAACCTATTTTAATCTTTATATATATATAATTATTTCGTTATTAGCTGAATTGAATGGTGGCTACTCTGAGACAATGTCCAAGAAGTCCATCGCCATCCAGCCCCAAGTCCTAGCAGTCCCAGCAGACGGTGTTGGTGGCGAGCCAGATAGATACAGTGAGTTCTCACGACATTCAGAAAAACCCAGATCTCGCGGAGGATTCCAGCTTTAGGGTGTGTGTCAGATATTTTCCTTGGTCTATATTTATCGAATTTAAAATAAATTCTAAAAATATCAACAACAAAAAATTCCCTGGAACATTATAATAATTTGATGTGGATTAAAGGTGGGAGGGGTGGGATACAGTAAAACATGGGGGGGGGGATACAGTAAAACATGGGGGGGGGTATACAGTAAAACATGGGAGGGGGTATACAGTAAAACATGGGAGGGGGGTATGCAGTAAAACATGGAAGGGGATACAGTAAACCATGGGAGGGGGGTATACAGTAAAACATGGGAGGGGGGTTTTAAATTTTAAAAACAAAAATTTAATGAACTTTTAAAATTATTAAAAAATACGACTTTGTCTTCCAGGGGATTCATTTGACTTGTTTTATTTAGGATTATAAAAGCAATGAAAATAACGAAATAAATTATTTGTTTCTTTCATCCCTAAGCATAATTCTCAGTAATTTGTTTAAAGACACCTTGCTCTATGACCATTTCATCTTAGATAGCAGGTTTAATCATAAAAAAATTGATGTTAAATGATGGAGATTTATATAGCATTTTATACTGATGATTCTAAATCTGTAACATAGTTGGATGTCATTTTGGCGCTCTCATTATTAACGTTTTTGTCAAATGGTCATTTTTTTCTTTTTTTTTCTTTCGAAACTTCTAATTTATTTAATTTTGCTCCAAAAGAAATTGTTTATAAAACTTAGTTTAGTGTTATATATATATATATATATATATATATATATATATATATATATATATATATTTTTTTTTTGAAAGTAAAGATTTAGAAATTTAGACTAAATAAGTAATAAAAGATATTAAAGATATGATCAAAACATTATTAATATTTTTGTGTGTGATTATGAACAATATGTTAAAATGTTAACAAAATGTAAATACACTTAAAACTCATCATCTTACACCTTGGTTATAATTCTATTTTCACTCCAGTAAAAAACATCTCTTGTGATGACCTACCTCTTACTCTTCCCTTAAGTGATAAAATTAAGGCAACCTAGGTTTATGAGGGTAAAATTAATGCCATGATCTTATACGATTCAGATACTTATTATAAACCAATAAGTCATCCCCTCTGTCTCAGCACATTTGTAATTGGTCCTACTATGCCCACTCTTAATAATTTTTATTGCCAAGTTTTCATCACATCACGTGGACACACGTGACCAGATTATTGAGCTATGGTGCTCTTTAAGTATACATTTATGGGTTGTATTATTTTGTTGTTCAAATCCCTCAACCCTCGCTCTCATGGGTTGTTCCCAAGATTATGTCAACGTCTGTCAATAACAATTTCAAAACGAAAATTCATTAAGTAGTGCCTTTTAGATATCTGCTCAATAGTACAAAATGAACCTTTTTTAAAAAGTCATAAAGTAACATTGAGATAATAGATTAAATATTAAATAAAGATTAATTAATGAAAGTGATTCAAATGTTCAATTTAACAATCAGTTATATTCTGCACAAAAGCGTGCTTCTTATTTCGTAGAAAATGATATTTTTGTTTGGTATTTATTATTCCATGTAAATTTACTATGTAAAATATTCTTCGTTAAAAAAGTACACTGTTCACAATGTTTGTGTGAATTCATACACATTTATTCATTCCTTTTACCCCAGATGCTCAAACCTTTCACTCAGATGAACTAAATATAATTTAAATCATTACGATTTAACCTCTATACAATACGCTAAAATAGCTGCTGGGTTTTCCTCCCCAATGTTTTCTCCCTTCGTTGTGTATTTAATCCACAAAGAGCAGCGATGCTCCTGATATATCGATAGACCACATTTTTTTTTCTCCTGTTTCTTTCATCACATTTTGTTCGCTTGTCTGTTAATTCGTTAGATGATTTGCAAGCGATGTTGGAGTGTATGTGGCCGTATATGAACTTAATTCATCACGTCTCCAAAGAGAGGAATTCAATTTTTCCTCTTTCTTATATGCATGAATTATGTGTTTTTAAAAAATAAATTAACCAAAAAGACTTAAAATCAAACATTATTTTTCTTTAAATTATATTACTCACTAAATTATGTTAAAAATAGCATCAACAAGATTGCTGAAAAGTAGAAAGAGGCATTGAAATAATCACCACGAATTATGTTTAAATTAAATTGTGTGAGTTTGTGTATTTTGTAATTGTGTGGCTATATCTTGTGGAGAAATATATTCACTATTTACCATTATTATTCTTTCAGTCCCGATTTTTAAATATTGGAAATTGTTTCACATGTTTTTATATTGCCTTTCGTTATTTGGTTCTACCCAACTTCTTAAACGTTCAAACCATTTTTTAAAAATAAGAATTTAACCAACAAGATAATAACACTATATATAATAAAACTATTTATAATAATTTTTAAAATTTCTACTTTTTTCTATTAAGTTACAAAGCAGATTCATTTAAGAATAAATTTGTCTATTTTGACAACATTATTTTGTCTTTTATTAGTTTGTGTTGCATTTTTGGTGTGTTTGTTATATAATAACTTAAAAAGTTCAGTTAGAACTAAATATCATTGCATCCAAATGTGTATTTTGGTTGGTTTTGGGTATCGTCGTTTAAAACAAGGGCCTGCAAAGGTTTTTCACGGCGGGACGGATAACGGAAAAAATGAAAAGCGCGGGGCCCGGATAATCATTCTGTACAGTAATTACAAGGCAGAACAAAAGCTCTGGGAAAAAATGGCGAAAAACTAAGTTTAGTGTTCCATGTTAATCATGGGTGAGAGTGAGAGGCGTGCAATATACAAAAAAACAAATACAACCAACATATTTATTTGTAAAAATCTTCAAACGTTTGGCTTTCAATGCTTCATCCAATCAAGAGAATTGCTGCATCCAATCAAGAGAATTGCTGCATCCAATCAAGAGAATTGCTGCATCCAATCAAGAGAATTGCTGCATCCAATCAAGAGAATTGCTGCATCCAATCAAGAGAATTGCTGCATCCAATCAAGAGAATTGCTGCATCCAATCAAGAGAATTGCTGCATCCAATCAAGAGAATTGCTGCATCCAATCAAGAGAATTGCTGCATCCAATCAAGAGAATTGCTTCATCCAATCAAGAGAATTGCTGCATCCAATCAAGAGAATTGCTTCATCCAATCAAGAGAATTGCTGCATCCAATCAAGAGAATTGCTTCATCCAATCAAGAGAATTGCTGCATCCAATCAAGAGAATTGATTTCAAATGTTTATCAGCCACCCTCGTTCGATGTGTTGACTTCCCATCAGGGCCATCTTGGTGCCCTAGGCACAAACCCACATGGGTGCCCCCTACTGCCCCGGGCCCCCGATCCTCCACTAACTGCTGGTATGTTCAATATTATGCAAAAAACTAACAAAGAAAAACAGTTGTGAAATGTAAACACATATGTTTGTACTACTGTCACTCATATAAAACCTACAATAAGGTATTTCTAAAATAGAATTAATAGTTAATTAATTTTGTAATAATAGTAGACAAAATACAGTAACTTTTTTGATAGATAAGAAAGTCAGAGAGAGCACACATTTACATTTTATAGTTCTTTTTTCTAGATTTACGTCTGGCAAAGTTTTTGAGTACATCATCAAAGTTAATTTTGCGCAACAAGTCTGCCTCAATCATCAGCAGAGATAAGGAATCAAGCCTTTCTTTTTTCGTTTTCGATCTACTTCGATTTTTTTACGCTTCAACTGAGAAAAAGAGCGCTCAGTCGAACAGTTCGTAACCATTAATGTTAAAAATATGCGCAAGGCAATTTCTACATTTGGAAAAGCACACTCGATGTTGTCTCTAACTATTACTTAGTAGAGTTCTGCATGACTGAACGTGTTGTTCTCAGATTTTGATGCACGAAACTTGTGGCGAATATATGAGTGGAACTGTTGTAGTTCAGTATATAAATTATTGTTCAGATCTTCAGGATAAGCATTTGTAAGTCATTCACAACACTAAGATGTTTGTGGAACATCGACCAAACAAGAAAATCGAACTGCTAGATCATTATATACCTGTCCTCGTCTACTTATCTCTGTCTCAAGTTTGTCAACAATGGTGTAGAAAGCAAATATACGAAATTTGTCTCTGGCATTCTGAGATACCTCAGGAGCATCACCATCAATGACCAATGTCTTTCGTTTACGATTACGGGTCAAAGTTGACTTATAATCCACACCTGGTGTTATTTATTTTGCAGCTAGATTCATACAAGTGATCTGCTAGTAAAAAATACAAATCAGCACACGTTTTCAAGTTCACGTGCTCATTTTGTACAGCTTGACTGACCCTGTGAAAATTTTGTAATACTTCTTCCTAAAAGACAAGCATGAAAGCAAATTCCAATCTTCTTCTTCTTCTATATATTAAGGGCCCACGATCAATTTATTGATCATTTTGGCTCCTATGCATGTAGAGGGGATTTTCAATGTTTCTGTTCCTGGTGCTGATGAGGACATTTCACTGATTTCCAGTGTCACTTTGTGAGGGAATCATGCACTTGGGGTTTGAAGGCTTGATGCAATAGACACAAATGAGTCTAGTGTTGTCGCCTCAACTGTTCCTTTTGAAAGCTTGTTCCAGTCCCTGATTGTCTTGGGCAGGAATGAGCAGCTCCTATACTGGCTTCTTGGTGTATGAGCCTGAATTGCCTGTCATGGCCTCGTCGCTGTCTATGGGGGAGAGGGACGAGTTTCTGTTTAATACTGGAACAGTGGAGCAGCCCATTATTTATCTTGTCCATAATGGAGAGCCTGGATTGTCATCGTCGTTCCTCCGATGGTAACCGGCCTAATGTTTCCAGCATGCTGCCAACACTAGAGGTATTCCTGTAGGTGTTCAGGACAAAGCGAGCCACTCGTCGCTGGACCGCCACCAACCTGTCAATGCTTTTCTGGGTAAATGGGTCCCAGACTGAAGATGCATTATCTAAAACCGGACGGACAAAGGCTTTATATGCTCTTTCTTTCACACAGGAAATCTTTAGATTACGCCTTAAGAACCCCAGGGTCTTGTTTGCTTGGTTACATACATTGTTAATATGCTCGTCCCAGCGGACCTCTCTTTGAATGGTAACACCCAGGTACTTTACGGAGGAAACTGGCTCATGC